ACAGTTCTGTTTTGATAGACGTTTTGAGTTTTTTAAGACTTTGAGCGAAGATATCTTGACAACCACCATGCCAAATTCGGTGAACTTTTTTTTATTTGAATTCTGCGTGCTCATAGAATTCAAATAAAAAAATTTTTATCGAATTTGGCCTGGTGGTTATCGATATAAGACCTTTTAAATTTCAAAAAAAAACTTAATTTGTATGGGGGTATGGATATCAATTTTGGGGTACAAATATCACTTTCCAAATTTTATATATTAATAATTTTACATATATAAATTATATAATCTTTGTATATTATAAAACTTAAATAAATTTTAATATAATTTTTGAAAAAGAATTTGTCAATATCTCAAAAATTTTACCATGTAACCACCTATTGTGTTACTAATAAAAAATGTTCCTCTCGTAATTTTACCCTAACCCCAACCATAACTCTAACTCTAACTCTAATTATAACTTTTATTTTATATTAACAATTTATTTATTCGACTACTAAATATAGCATTATATTTATTAAATTTTATATAACCACTACATAAATTTTATTTATAATTATATTTATGTATAAATTATAACTATGTAAGTCTACACTGGGTTTATAGACCTATGTATAATTTTTAAATACATAACTCTACATAAAAACAACTTCGCGATGCTACGCTAAAAAAATCCGGATATCATATAAATGAGCATCACTATACACGTCCAAACCCAATCCAGGGACTATGTATACATATTATACATATTTCGATATAATGAACTATCATATGACTTTGCGGACATGAATATCCGCGAAGTCATGCGTTCCGAAATACTTCGAAAGAAAGCGAACGAGCACAAAAATTAGAGTAAAATTCCGAGATTTTTCGAAGTATTTTTTTTTAATAATCCCGGTTCTGTGCGTGATTTTATTGGTTAGCTTTACATACCGAACAGTTCTGTATAAAGAGAGTAAAATATGTAACGAACTCTATACCGAACAAAATCTTCCAGAACATGCAGTTCGGTATATCCAGAGTCGACTGTATTTGGGTTTTGGGCATTCCATGTTGCCATGCCCATGACATCTGTGCCACTCATAGTTGCATTGAATCGTCCCAGTATTATAATCACATTTATATCGACTTTGAGATCAGACTAGTTCTGAACTGTCCCTAAAAAGTCTAGTCTAGACTCGGTCCAAATCAGTTCATCGTGACCACTTACTGTAAGAAGTGGCCTATTTATTAAGCCAAACATGATACGTATGAGAAGTTAATGGGAAACATATACATAACAGCACTACTAATTGTCATTCCGAAGTGATGGATAATTTATAATCCATCATTATGCATCTTACAGAACGAAACTTTTTCTTTTGTTTAGACTATACCTACTAATTTATACAAATATATATTTATAAATATATTTCTACTATGAGTTACTGTAAAAAATTGTTACAGAACTCATTATTCCAGTATGTATTAATTTAGCTTATATTAGAATTATGTGATTTCTATCATGAAAATTCTGTCACAGAACTATTCACCATTCAGGTGACCACAATACATTGATGAGTTAGTTTGCTTAGTGTTTCACCCGGGTCACTGTGTCAATTCATGGGTCACCCACTGGCAGAATTTCCAAATAGTGGTCTAAATGCATAGGCTTTTTTTTCTCAAATCACATCTACAGACCAATTGAGGTTACAATTAAGGTTACAGGCATTACAACATACGAGAATGGAAGAGTAGAGTTTATACTCGGGTAACCCAGGTTAGGTATTTACAATTTTATTTTAGAATATGAATATAATGTATATTAAACCTATAAATGTTTTACAGAATAGAACCGAGACAATAAAGCTATAGTTAGTGTTACAACTAAACCGTGACTCAAATTATTAATTAGATTATAACTTTTGAATCCACATCTACATCACAATGCAGTTCAAACCGGGATATCCAAGCAAATGACAACTCTAATTAGGCCACTCAAGTTCATAAATATTTTATATTTAGTACGTGAATATAAAGAATATACTGTACTGTATATTTATGTTAATCTTAGTATTTAATCAAGATATCATGCTCATGAATACAGTATTCACATATCATTTCGTTCATTTTATTTGCATTAATTTAGTGCATAAGCATAAAGAACATTTATAAATCGAAGTCTTCAAAATAAGTAATTCATCATGCCTATAAATATTTACTATTAGTTTATTTTAATTTAATGCGAGAGTATAAAGAACATTTATAAATATAAATATTCAAAGTTATTCCAACTTTATTTACTATTCATAATTTGCTTTAGATCGTGAATAATGAGAATTAAGCTATCTAAATTCATAATATTTACCATTTATACGCATGATATAAGCATATCAAAGTTCATGAATATTCTCATTCTATTTAGTGCATGGCATAAAGAACATTTATTAGTCTAAGCATTCGTATTCATGAATATAATATTTATTATTTAATTTTATAATTCGTATTAATTTAGCGCGTTAATCCAAGTATTTAAATAAGCTACTCAACCTCATAAATATTTACAATTTATTCGCGTTGTTGAGTACAAAAATTATATTTAAGTGTCGCATAAATAAAAATTTAATTTAGCAAATGATTAGTTGTATAAATTCCGTTGCAGAATTTCTTTTACCACCCGATGACCGTTGCAGAATTTCTCTTACCACCGGGTGACCCGGGTTGGATTTGTGACGGGTCGGAACACTACAGTTTGCTTTTAGGGAGGCTTTTCATAGAACAGGTATTTAGGGAGTTGCATTTGGGAAAGTAAAAATTTATAAGCATTATATTAATTGGGCCTAAGTGAGACATGCATTTAAAGAGGCTTCTCGTAGCATGTATAATAAGTTGCATTTAAGGAGGTCTGACAGTATGTACGTACGTATGTAAAGTGCAGGAAATCTAAAGCTTATTCTTTTCCTACACTAATTCCATGGAAGTGATATAATTTTACAAATTATCAAACCTTAGATAATCTTAGATACAGTAATGCGCCAATACTTAATTCAGCCCCAATTCGTAAATAACATCTTGTCTTTAATTGTTTTAAGATATACTAAAATTTTGGTAGTAATATTAGAGATGCCTGATTAGAACTGATAAAGAAAATTTTTTTATTAGCAATTCGCTGATAATTATATTAATTTACACAAAATATAGTTGAGATTATTTGACGTTTTAAGTTCAAATTCATTCAAATACCTTGTTATAAACGATAAATTTTGCCTGAGTATTTTCTATTTATAGAGATACCAATCTTTTTAAGAATCATTACATCGATTTCATGCAGGAGATTTACAACTTTAAAACTTATTAATCATTTTCCATATGACCCATGAACTTGGGTCATTATTTTCTGATCACAAGTAAAATTAAGTGATAGCCCTACAACCTCCTATCCTTTTTAGTCAACTCATGTACGAAAATAGATGCTGATCAATGCATACCTTCATACAATGATATTATTATATATGCATGCAGTGTTTATTTCAGAAAATTACTGTGAACTCTAAACAATTGTGAATTAACCTAAAGATGACTCAAACTCTAATTCAGATCTCTCTAAATGCATTGCAACGAGACTCATGTAAAGAGTTATTTACTGTATAGGCGTGAAATAACGCCATAGGCGTATTTGAAAATCGGACCTTCAAAAATAGCTTACGTGTCACTTAAATTAACGTACATTCCCATGTAGAATATAATTTATTGTTGCGACAAATCTTGGATTCAGAAAATCAACCTTATTTCGGATTAGTGTTCGTGAACGTACACAAAATAATGTTCAGGCCAATTAATTAACGCATACAGTAAACACGCCCTAAATGGAGGTAGGGAGGTAATAATCTATAAGTGGTATATTCGTTGAGTCTAAATGGAAGCATGCATTTAATAAGACTTTTCATAGATCATGCATTTAGGGGAGGTCTGACTGTACTTTCAAAAAATTCGCAATCTTCTAATAATATACACGGAATAATACCGTATTAGAGGCATCGATTCTGATAGCTATATAAAGGCTGACAAAAAACTCTTCTCAAAAAAAAAAAAAAAAATTCAATCAGAAAAATCAGTCATAAGTAAAAAAAGGAAAAATAAAAAATAATAATAATAAAAATAAAAATGCCATTTTATATTTACGTCACTCCACGTCAAACCAACCGTGTCAGAAGATACATGGGTGTGTTTCCCGATGAATGCACCGTAGATCAATGGTATAATGCCGTGTTGAAGCTTAAAAATCTCAATCCTGGCGAAGGAAAATATAGTCTTGAAAAAGTATCACCAGAATGGTATACTTTAGACACCGAGGGTGATGTTCTCACATTTATTGATGGAGTTCTTGAAACTGACCTAAAAGAATATAGGGCAAAATCTTTTTGGTTGTTGTTGCCCGATGTTGGTGGCCTCAACATGCCAATTATTCCTAAACAAACATTTTTATCACAGTAAAACATGAAATCAACTTATTGTATGTTCCTATTGACGATGAAATTGTTGTACATACAATTTTAACAATTTCCAAAACGGATTCAAAAATATTAAGATAGGGTAAAAATTATTTTAAGTTAGGGGCAATAGAAAGTTTCTTTTTATGTTATGTATTTATTTTTATTTTATTTTTTTTCATGTAAACAGTTCTTTCGAATTTTCTTTTAATTTTAATAATAAAAATATTGATTAACAATTTTTACTTCAAATGTGGAAATATACAAAAACCCTTTCATTTGTAAAAACATGCACACGAAAAAAGCAGGTAATCATTCATCTTGACTTCATAGAATCATATCAAATTTCATTCTGTATGCTCTCATCTGAATATTCGGTTTTAAATTCAGTCTACGGCGAATATAGAGTATAGTATACTTATAATATCAATCAGTTACATTGGTTATAATGTATTCGTGTATTATATTATATGGAAATTATGTCAATCTATTAATGTCCATAACACTGTTGTGAGTCTAAACAGAAGTATTTAAAAAAATAAATAAAAAAATAAAAAATTGGTATGATATTGGATAGGAGAAACTTTGATCAAATGAATTGTATTTGTTATCTTTTCAGCAGTGATAATTATTTTTAATTTTGATAGCAAATGTGAAAACAATTAGTATGTAGTAATTTGTTGTGATTATTTCTGAAATTAAATAAATATATTGAAAATATTTATATTTTGTGTAAAGATCTAAAATATTAAACAAGGTAATAATTAGTGATGCTGACATAACGTTTTATCGACACTATGTTTTTTGTTTATCACATGGTAAATTGATTTTAACATCATAGTAGCTTTAAATTGTTAAAATGAAAATGATTTTACTACTTTACAGAAACCTATGTTTTTTTCTAAATGTGTTTAAAATATAGATAAAATTTATGTTATCTTAATAATATCTAACTTGTTATCATATTTTTAACAGCTAATAAAAA